TTCTGGTCGGCCATCTCACTAATCACCAAAGGGTTGAAACAGGAACGCACACAACAGAGCACCACAGACAAACCACTTAACTCAGACTGACGCCAGCTCACTAACAGTCGCGGGAGACCCCCAGCTAACACCACCTAGCAGCACAACTTGTAACTACAAAGCATGCGCGTGCAACAGGTCAGTTCCGGTTATTTTTGGGTCCCCCCTCATAAGTCACCACTATGAGAAACTCAAGTTTCACATGGTTTCCCCAAGATTATAATTCAGAAGAGTGACTTGCTTGTCTATATTTGAAACTATACTGAGCCTATGTAAAAATATACTAGACATTTTGCAACTTTCCATTGTAATATGCAGAGAGCAAAAATTCATATGAAGTCAGAACTGCATGTATAAAATCTGGGATGTGTAACATGACAACAATTTTTAATTTCTACACTCATTCTCAGAATAATCTGTGAAAATTTAAAAACTGCACCAAGAACTCTTAATATTTGATGAAACCCTGACACTACATACGATCCTGAAACTCTTATTAAATGATGACAAAACACATGGACACAAGGAAGAAAGCATGTGTGTTTGCCCCCCCGACTCACATGCATGCACGCGCGCACACACACACGTGTACATGTGCACTGCTATATGCAGAACTAAAACATTTAAATATGAAGATTTCTTTGATGTGCACATTTAATTGCTGGCAGTATAACACCTCAGGGGCAATATCACTAAATTAAAATTTTAACATGCATGAACACATACATCCTCATCCTCAGAATTCAAATCATCTCCTTCAGGTTCTTGCTCATCTTCCAATTTCTTCATCCTCCTCTTCACCAGGCCTTACTTCTTCTGCTTCATCATCTCGCTGATCATCAGATCTACGTTCATCATCCTCTTCAGAATGCGATCGTGATCTGGATCTAGACCGGGATCTAGAACGTGACACAGACCTGGACCTTGATCTGGATTGTGATGGTGAATGAGAGTGTGACCGTGACGGAGATCGTGACCTTGACCTGGACACAGAACGTGATTTGGCACCGGATCTTGATGGACACCCAGACCTGGACTGCTGGTCCTCATCACCAGACCATGCATCAGATCTCACCTCCTGCCAAAAAGCACACGCTGTAATAAACTCAGGATTTCTTACAATTACTGGAACAAAAATTCTGGGTTAATGAGCAGAAATACTGAAGTCGAGAAAATGGCCTACAGATATGGAGAATATAGTGAATAGGCAGTTACAGATTTCCTACAAGGGACAGTCCTCCAGTTTGGGGGTTGGGAGAAGGACTAACAACTCACCATAAAAAATCAGGGAAGTTATGAAATGTTATGCAGAATTGGACTTGGACACAACCTCTGAAACAAGGTAAGCAATGGAAAATGGACATTGGATTCAGAACGTGGAATGTAAGGTGTCTCTGTAAGGCAGGTTCAGTGAAAGTAACAAGAAGAAAAATAAAATTTATATATGGTGGCAGTACAGTATGTCACATGAAACAATGGTGGCACAGAACCACAGCAAACAATTGTACATATATCTATGAAAATTTGGATGAGTTTTTGTAAAATTAGGAAACGTATCAGTAAATTAGTGGGCAAAACTTTTTAGCGATGGGATGCTGTACAGGGTGAGGTATGAGGATATGACATTTCTTTTGGGATTGTTGTGGGAGACTGAACTTCAGCGGATATACAGTGTCATATGGTAGGCACAACGGATCCCCACAGCAGATAATCTCGATTTTCTAGATTGCAGCCGCTATTTCCTTCAAATAGCTCCTCCGTTATCCTCACAAGGCTGAGTGGACCCCATTCCAGACCCACAAGATAAGGTCTAAGGCTCGTAAGTCATAGGATCTTTCTGGACAAGGAATGTTTCCAAATTCTGAAATCAAGCAGCCTGGAAACATTTCCCTAAGAACATTAATGCTTTGGGCTGCCAGGCGAGTTCACTGGCCAGTTCATCATAACCACTAAACTGCACACGTAGACAAGTGTGTGCATGCAACAGCAACAATCATTAACCCACAGAAACAGTACAAAAACTGTCATATCCTCATGAATAGCTGACGTATTATCTCAATGTACTCCCATTTTTTTCCAGTACCTGACAAATGGAAACAAATCTTATCAGTACTTGATCTGTTATGCTGAAACCCACACTGATGTTCGCTCACAATTTTGTCTATGTACGAACTTAAAATTCTGCATGTAGCTGATAACAGCGACATGTCTCAGTAATTACTACAGTCAGTTATATCGCCTTCCTTGTAGCAGGAGATTTAATCTGATGGATGAAGATTAAGGGCGAATTTAATTAAGTATTTCCCAATTTCAAAACTCCTAAACTAATGAAAGATCCAATATCAGAATAAACATCTTCAATACTGACACAGAATTCCATATATAAACTGACATTGTATTATTTATAGGTTAATCCAGTTTGGGGCACAGTATATTACCTCAACATTTATATGTGCATTTAAAGGCAATAGAATAAAGTCTTTAAAGTAAGTGTAATGTTATTAATGAATATGCTAACATTGTAATCATCATAGCAAAGAGGGTGATATGTTTTTCCGTCTACCATCAATGCTGAATGTAAGTGCCACTCTTCTCTTTCGTCGTTATAAAACTGTTCAGATTTATCATGGCATAAAGCACAAAATGCGTCCTCAGGATTTTCTCCAGCGCAAACACTGGGAACTTTTTGTATCTCTTTTTCTTCAGCTTCCACAGCCTGCTGGGTTTCAAACCAGCTTTTTGCTGAAAATAAAGAATTACATGCCAACATCATAATACTTTTTGATATGTAATAATGCAAGTTGATGCATGTCCCATCATTTTATTTTAGTGTATCTTCCTCTCATCTTAACAGTCATCATCTGCACAGACAGAGTGTTAAATTCTCTATCTTCAGCTGCAGCTCCTTACTGCTATGGTCAGGACTCAGTGCCGGTAGTGTGATAACGTGGTTTAAACCTAGAAGTCACTGATAATAAAGAAAAGAAACCAGCATGAAGAGGGTAGCAAACAGCTCTAACTGATTCATGCTAGCATCTTCCTTGCTTTATTTTCTGACCCTGAAGATGGAGGCAACACATATTTCCAGAAAGTGGGTTGACTTTTAATGGACTACATGGTATACTTGCCTCCCAGAAGATAGGACTCTTTAAGAAAACTATGAGCTTGTGGTTTGTTTCAGAAGAACATGCTGCTTCCAGCTTCAGGATCAAAGCAAGAAACAAGCATAAGCAGGCAGCAAGCTCAGCTGTTGCTTTCTTGCATGACTCACTCTTCAACCCAGAAGACGGAGAGCAGTGTGTTCCTCTAAAACACTGAGCTTTCCCTGAACTGCAGTGTTACAACCCAGAAGACTCTTTAAGTGTTCTCTTTTACACAACCGACTTTCTGCTGAAATTACTGTTCAAACTGGTACTCATGACTTTTCTAATGACGGTCACCATAAGAACTAGATCTGTCAGTTACAGGCATTTCAGAAGTGAAGCACAAGCATGGGAAGTATCATTCAACTGAAATGAAAGTAAAGTAGTCA